TCATTTAACATATAGAAATTCATTTTATATCCTAGGTTGATATTAACGGGAGTTGATATTAATGAGGGACGACTGTACTAATAATCCTTGATTACATTCATATAGTAGTTTTGAATTAAATAATAGAGCTTTAAAATCATACTTTATCTCTGCAATTATAAAAACAAAAGCAGAATATTTACATCTAAACTAATTAAAAATATATCATCTTTTACACGCGGGAGTAAATTCGAGCGAAGAACGAATAAATAGCGTAGTAAAAAGATACTGCTCGCCATTAAAATCGCTTAGTGGAACATGACGATATCCTAAAGTACATTCAAAATTACTGATATGTAATAAAAAAAAAAATAAAAAAATAAAAAAATTCTCACCAAATTGTAAACTAGTTACGGGAATGCAATAAGATGCAATAAAATCATTACTCCTAACATCTTCATTCCAAACAACGAATCTATATAAATTCAGATTATTAATGATTTTAACGTTCATTTAAGCGAATTATGTATTAACAACATTTTCAATAGGATTAGACCTATTTACCGCAAAAATACCAAGCTCATTTCTTCACAATTCAATGTAAATTTTAAAGTTTCATTCCACGTAGGGTTAAAACCGTTATCGGTGATGGTGTAAGTCCTTTTCTTTGTAGCATCAGCACCGGGAATGAGCAATTCTACTTCAACAAATGGATCAATTACTTCGTCTGCGAGGGCATCTTTGGGTTTAGGGAGCTGTTGTGCAGAAATTATCTATTTCGATGTATTAATCAAAAGCGAAATGTGTATTAATTTGTGAAATAAAGAATGTCGAAATCATCAATAAACCACAATTTGCATACTTGAATTGTCAATGTTTGAGTTGGCAGATGTGTATTTATAGCTGGAGAAATAATTTCGGGATTGCGCAGTCGTTCTGACTTGAGTACATAACCACATCTGCCATTAACAGAAAACATGGCTTGATCGATTTGCATTCCTAGGTCTTGAAATGATCCAATAAAAAGTTTATATAAAGTGTCATAAATGAAAAAAAAAGTCAAAGTCAGAACTAACCAAAAGTCTGCCAATTTAAGGCGACCATTTGGTTCCCAACCATCCATTGATGATGTGGTTCAAAATTTGACGAGTTTATTCGAAAACCCGACGGATATATACGTGATAAATGACGTGTATTGTGCCGAATAAAAGCAATCTTGTCAGACTTTAGGAGTCTTAAAGAAACTTTGTCAGTAAATGAAGACATGTGATAGTACTTCGAATTCTCTACACATTTATAATTTGTGATGTTATTAATTCTTAGGAAAATGTAATCCCTAAATC